GTTGGTTGAGGGTAAATGAAACCATGAAAAGCAAAACCAAAGATAAAGGGGTACTACTGTGGTCTCTACCTGTAGCTCAACCAGGATTGGTAATTATGCCTGTTTCCTTTTTATTTTTCCCCGAGGTGGAGAGAAACCAGAGGACACAAGGACAACCAATGAGTAGCACAAACATCAAGTTGTGTTCTACTTTTGTCTAGTGCTCTCCAATTTGGTACTTCCTTACAAAGTAACCGAACACAATGGGTTCATTCCTTTGTGAGTGCAAAACACAACAGGAAAAAAAATAGTGAAGAAAATAATTATTTGCAGCAGATAAAGAGTGCACTGGAGATAATCCTCAAAGCAGTGCTTCTCCCAACCCAGAAAGCAAGGGGTTTTACTGGGGGAGTTCAAGCATATTCTTTGTGGGAAGACTCACCATCACGTCAGAGGTGAACACATTTCTGAGCATGCTTGTTTTGAGGCCATTCACCATCATGTGTTCAAATAACTGCAGAAGGAATGCCTCTGGGCAGAGAATACAGGATTATAAGGAGTTAAGTTTAGGTCACCTAAAAAGAGTGAGTCAGAATGACTTGGGGATTTGTCTGGTTCCTTGTGTCTCTGGAGAGCCTTATCTGAAACAAAAGGCAACACATTTGAAAGAGGTTAACAATCACTTAAAGAGGCAGCATCAGTCCCCCTCCTCCAAGTGTAGGTGATAGCCCCTAAAAGTACCTGTCCAGTGGCCAACCACATTGGAGCAGGAGTGACTTTGTCTCCTCTTGCTCCCCGCCCCTAGCTCCTCCCATCCCCCCATGCCTTATCACCTCTGGCACCTGACATAGGCATTCCCATAGGTTTTCCTTTGGTAGAAAGGGTCTGATAAGGCTGTGCCCTACAGGACTGAGATAAATCAAATTCTTAATGGGGATGGGAAATCTTAAAAACAAAGGCATCAGGGATTTCTTTAAAGAAAAGATGAGATTTGGACAGCTTTGAAGCCAATAAAAGGAGAAAGACCAGGTGAAAAGAGGTTCAGGTAGGCAGAGGCTGCAAGGAAGAGCCCTTCTGAATCCAAGCAGAGCTCCCCTGCCCTGGAATAATCTGGAAAGTTACACTTCCCAGCTTCCCTGGGGAAGTAGGGGTCACTTTGGGGCAGGAGCAATCCTCTGCTCACCTCACTCTCTCTTAGAAGACAAGCTGAGTTTGACTTTCTGGTTTGGTCTATTTAATGTAGTGGTGTTATTTCAGGCTCTTCCTTATTCTGAAAATAGCTTTCACCTACCTGCTGATGCCTGACATCCTCATAACAGACACAAAACCTCTGATTCCCAATAAAGAGATAAAAGGTTTAATTATGCAAATACATAGTGAAGTAGCTCTGTCTGAAACTCATTCATATTAAAATGTCATCAGTCAGCTTTTCAGCAGGTGGCTTGATTGATACACAGGGGATGGGGATGAAAGGGCAATCTAGAACAAGGTGGCACTACAGAGAGACCTACCTAGCTTTACTGCAAGGAGGGGAGGTAAGTCCAGGAAAGCAGGAAAGTAACATACTTTATTCTCCTTCCCAGGGCTGGTTGGAAAGAGCTGGCTCTTCAGCTATGCCTTAGGAGACAATGTGGTGGTGTTTCCTGCCAAGATAACCCAGATTCAATGCTGGTTTACTGTGTGATTAGATTACCTCCTGGCTCATCAGTTTGAACCATAGATAAGTAGATAAAGGTCTTCTGTAGGCAGTCTGACTTCAGAGGGATACTATTGGAATTCTGAGTATCAATTACACAGGGAGGATGTGCCAGAGACAATGAAGTGATCTGATGGGTGGGATTATTAGAATGTAAGTTCTCACTGGTTTTAAGAAAATCAGCAAAGGATGAGTCTAAGAAATGTCACAAGTTGCACATTATCAGGTCAAACTTTATGGCTTTGTAACATTATAATGCTGCAATGGTGAATATTCTTCCTATGTAGTCGGCATGTTTGCTTTGGCTTTTTTGTGAAAGCATGTGACATTCTACTTGGCTGGGGTCTAATTTATTCCTTTACATTATCTTCTTGAAAAGTCACATTATTGTTTTTTTTCCCTTGTGATCAGTGTCAAACTCAGAACAATTTCACATGTTCTAGTTGATATGTTTGAATTCATACGATCTATATTCCCAGGGAAACACTGGTAGCCCATGGCTACCATGTTCTCTTTTTTCACACAGGAGAGGAAAATAGGCCATTGAATTCCTCCTTTGCCTATGAAAGCAAACCCTCAAGTAAAAAGGAGAAGGGTATGCATGAGATGAGCAGACAGCAGAGTTTGGACCTTTTTATGGGTCATGTGGTCTTTGGGGTTGCTGCAGCTTTTAGAACTTATAGCTGAGTGTTTGAGGTACCTGCTTGCTTAGCTAAGGGCTGTCTTTGTTGATTTTTAGAAGAAAAGGCTAGAGGGAACAAGTACAGGGATGTAGGAAGAGGCTCAGAGTCATTTCAAGAAGTCGCCATTTCTTGCCTACATAAAAAAATAAGGTGTAGCTAATGAGTTCACTAAATATTTGATTAAAATACTGTAATTTTGACTTAATAACTTCCAGATTTAAGAACTGCTTTAAAAAAATTCCCTACACATCACTTTAATGCTATTGATCATGTTTAGTTAATGTCTAACCTGCTAGTGAATGTCTGTTGCTAATAACACATCCTTTTTTGGAGACAATATTGATCACAAATAATACCAAGGAGTTAAGCTCTGGAAAACTACCTTTGGGAGAAATCTTCCTCATGAATGAGGCTTTCCCACTTTTAAAATGAAGCATGAAAATCAACATTTCTTTTACAGAAAATAAGAAATATTTAATGTATATAAATTTATTTGCCTTGGCAATTATTTATTTACAATTGATGATTGATACCAACAATTGAGGTAAAAATATACATGAGGTATAAATATAATATTTAAATGCAATACCATATTCTATTTCCATTGGCAAGATAATGGTTAATACTGTGGTATTTGACAAACAAGCTTGATGCATCTTTTTACTTTTTTCCCCTTTTTCCTTTATTTTAAACGTGCACCATGTTATGCAGCAGTGATATGATTAGCATGTGCATAAAAATAAAAACATAATTGAAAGAGAGAGGAAGTCAGTATTTGTTTTTATTCTAAATATCCTCTAGGTCTTTGTTTCTCAACATGAGTCCTTGGGCTATCAGCCTGGATATCCCTGAGGCTCACTAGAAATACAGCATGTCGGGCCCACCCCAAATTGCCTGAACCAAGGTGTGCATTTTAATAAGATCCCCAGGTGATTTCTGTGCATGATAAGTTGAAGGAGCACAGCTCCAAGTGACACAATGACATTCATTCTCTGATGCCCATTCTATTTTCCAAACACATAGTGTCCCATCTCTGGAGCAGGACCAGTGTTGAGCTAGATTAAATTTCATTAATGATCTTGTCAGTGCCTGAAAAGTAATATGGCATACATGGTGAAGTTAAAGATGTTATGGCAGAAATGAATTTGTCTTGTTCACAGAGCATTGCCCAAATGGTAAGTTGTGGACTTGCTGCCACCTTCCTAGGTAGACATGGGAATGAAAGATTCCTACTATGATTATCCTTGCACCATACCAAATTTATAGATGGCATTTTATTCCTCTCAGTTAAAACAATTGCACATTTCTGATAAAAGAAAACATTGCATAAATGCACATAATAAAAAAACCGAAAACATACTGTTTTTTCATTTTTTACTCCAACACCAGTTGCTAAATCATAATATCAATCTCTGTCACAGACAATTGAAGAAAATCTCTCTCCTTGAAGCCAAGAACATTAAGTTACCTTTCCCTCTAGAGTTGTCAAATTACAACAAAAAACAACAAATCCATTTGCAATTGGTTAAGAAAAGTCAATTTGCTTAGTCCATGAAATAATAAATAAGGTGGGGTCAAATGCATAGGTAGCTTGAGCAGGCTAATGCGGAAACCTGGAATTAATATGTCTGTTTATATTTTCTAAAATTAATTAAAGAATAAGGTTTTGATCTTATGTTAGTTAAAAACCCTGCCTTTCAGATTGCAAGATTTTAATGATTTATATTTTAAGAGCATCATATATAACAAAATATAAATTCCCTGAAGCTGTGATGGACTAAGACTCTTAAAGGACCACCATCTCCCTTTGTCTGGGGTCTAGAGTCAAATTCAGTGCAATAAATTGGTAAGAAAATGTCAATTAACCATGACCACTTAGGCCACTGGTCAAATAGAAGAACATTTAATAACATTATGAAAAGTATCTGTGAAAACCTGAGACAACACAGAGGCTCCCTTTGGCTATGAATATGAACAGGCTCTGGTATTCAGTTCTGGTATTCACTTGGTGTGGGGATATCAGTTCTGTTTCAGTCACTGAAGATAACTCCAGTGGTCTATCTGACATCTCACTGAAATTGCATATGGCGGGGGCCCAATGTCCACTTATCTTAAATTTGGCAATAACTTCTCACCCACTGCTTTTCATTAAAGATGAGTAAATATTCTTTCCCTTGCTTTATCCCAACATTCCAGACTCAGATTTTGAACATCAGACTTAAGTTGCCAAAATGCATAAGAAATTGTTAATGTTGTTTTCCTTTGATTAGCTAATCTTTGGTTAGACATCAGGGCAAACTGACAAGACTACATTTTCATACTTTGGCATTAGCAGCAGGCTCTGCTCAGCTTATAAGACAGTGGGGAGAGAGGTCCCAGAGCAACCTGGGAAGAGCTATGTGAGGAAGGGACTCACGGAGTCAGATGGTCATATATAAAATCCTTATTTTACATATATACAGTAAAGAGAGATATACACATATATGTACATATGCTATAGTACATTTATTTACAGTTAAGAATATGCTTCTTAGAAGCCTTTAAATAGCAAATTAGGCAATGCACAAGGAATAATCCATTTAATTTTAAGTGACATAGATAAATGTTTTGATTTTTTAAAAAAAATATTATATTAGTAGGTATGTAGCCATCTCCAGGAAGGCTAGAAAAGTCCTTAGAAAGTTCATGCATCTTCAACATTCCAACTCCTCAGTGTTTGCATGTCTAAGCATTACCACATCCTTTTCTCTCTTTTTATCTTCATGTGCACACTCTCTGCTATAAGCATTTGCATTTGGTTTGCTTCCTGTTCCCTGAGTTTGATGTCTCACTGGGGAAAACTCAGATTTTAGTTTCTGGACCCTCAGCAATGAGGGGTTGAAAAGAGTTTCTAATCTTGGCAACTTCCGCTGCACAAAGTTGTCCAAAGCCTTTGTTGTACCATTCTGGTGAATGACCTCTGTAGAGAAAGAAATCAGAAAGGAGGTGGGAAAGTGTTTTTCAAACCACAGCATTTTGTCAGGGTAGACAGAGCTGCCCTTTGGGCTGGGTCCCCAGTACACTTGCAAATAACTCTAGCTGCTGTCTTGAGGATCTGATGATCCATTTTGTCATCAGATGTCTTGAAAATTTTTGGTTACCAAGCATTCACTCTGTTTTACCAGATCCATCAGGTGCTTTAAAATGATACCAAGTTCTTGGGATAGAATGGGATAATTTATACTGAATGTAGAATTTATCGAGAAACTAAATTTATATCTACCTAAATAAAGAACTCAGTTTAATATTATGAATGCCTCAAAGGGATTTGATTTAAATTAATTTCTTCTCAAAGAAACAACTGAAGGGAAAGCAAAAGGGAATGGGCATAAAAGAAACACAAGAGAAAGGAAATCAGATTTATCAAGCATCTACTAAGCACCTGATGTGCTCTCTGTGATAAGCACAGAAATATAAGTGAGGACAAAATAGAAAATGAAGAAACTGCCATATGATCCATCAACCCTGATCCTGGGTTTATATATTCAAAGGATATTAAATCAGTATCTTGATGACATCCTCACTCCCACATTCACTGCAGCATTATTCACAATAGCCAAAATACGGAAAGAGCCTAAGTGTATATTAGTGAATGAATGAATGGATAAAGAAAATACGGCTTACACATTCAAAGGAATACTATTTAGTCTTAAAAAAAGAAGATCCTGTTACTTGTCACAACACAGATGAATGTGAAGGACATTATGTTAAATGATGGCAGATACTGCATGTTCTCACTAATGTGGAATCTAAAAACGTGGAAATAAGGATAGAATGGTGGTTACCAGGGGCTAGGGGTAAGGTTGGGGCTGGAAGTTAGGTGTAATAAACTCAAGAAATCTATTGCACAAAACAATGGCTAAATTAAAAACTTTTAAAAAGTGTACATCTTCATGGTGTTCACTATGGTAATATAAAACATGCACACATGTGTAATAATCAAGTCATAATAAGAAGCATTTCCATCTCTTCAACTATTAATTGTTTTTATATGTTGGGAATTTCATATTCTTGTAGTCATTTTGATATATATCCTAGGTTGTTTTAACCAATAGTTATCATACTGTGCTAAAGAAGACCCAGAAGTGATTCCTCCACTGTTTTTTGATGGCCTTAGTGAATTTCATTTGGTCCCCGCTCCCTGCTGCCCTCATCCATCCCTAGTCATCACTATTCCTTTCCATTCGTCTGAAGGTTGATTTACTGGTTTCCACAAATGAGTGAGAACATGTGGTTTTTGGTGACTATAGTTGATAACAATGTGTTTTATTCTTGATCATTGCTAAGAGAGTAGATTTTAAGTGTTCTCATAACAAAAAATAAGTATGTGAGGTAATGGATAATGTTAATAGCTTCGTTTGGTGGTTTCACAATGTATACGTATATCAAATATATATATACTTTTGTCAATTAAGAATAAATAAATGAGAAAAAAATAGAAAGTAAAGAAGAGCAAAGTCTGAGTAAGAAATTTCAGAATTTCAGAAAAGGGGGAGAGAGAGAGAGGAGGAATATGTAATCATCTACAAAAGCTTGTTCCCAGTGGTGAGGAAAATGGTATAGTGAAATCAGAAATGACGATGATAAGCAAGGCCCTGATGAATGTGCCCTGTGAGCTGAGACTCCTGAGACCCCTGTCATGCTGGGAGCTGCCACTTACTTCAGGTCTATCCTGCAGATGTGGGTCAGTCTTGATTTGCCTGAGCCACAAGGTTCTATCAAGTACTGAGAATCCATCACCACTGCCCGCACGCCGCCCATGAGCTGGGCTTCTTCATGCTCCACAGACAGGGACACCAGGGTGCACATTCCTTTTGGCAAGTCGGTCTTCCAGGTCCTGTGGCAATGCAAGACATGCATCAGAATTATGGCTAAGAGAGAAAGAAAAGCCTGAACCCAGAGCTAAAGTTTACCCTTATCTTTTCCTACCAAAAATTTGAGCTCGAATTCTAATCCTTGTTACCTGAACTAAGCTAATGGTTTCTGAAAGTTGTGTGAAGTTTGTACAGTGCAGTTCAAAGCACAGGTCTCAGCTTTTGGACCTGAGAGGTTGGAAATAGTCTTGCAGCTCTGAGGCCTGCATTTGGAACCCCATGTGAGGGGTTCTTGGTCTACAGTAGGAGCTCCTGCCCATTACAGAAGAGGTGACTACACCTCTCTCACCCACTCAAGTCTTCCATTCACCTGTTGAGCAAATCTGTACGCTGTGCTTGAGAAGCAACCAAGGACAGGGAGATATCCACGGCCCAGCAGAAGCTGAAAACTCAGGATAACTCTGAAAACACTGTAGTAAGCTATACACAGAAGACTCTAGAATCCTGTGGCTAGAGGGGAAAGGACAGGAATACAGGGAAGGTTTCCTGGAGGAGGTGATTCAAGTCTTAACAAATGATGATCTGCTGATGCATAATATGAAGAAAGCTGAACCTATGTGGACCTGTGAATTGTCCTTAGACTGGCTCTTAAGTGGGAGGAGAATTAAACAGAGTTGATTTGACTTAGAAGGCAGAGGCAGGAAGGACATTTCAGTTTAGAATGGAGAAGAGCAGTGTGCATCATCCTGCTCTGTATGTATGCCGTTCCATCATGCCTTAAGGCAGGCCCTGCTGCATGCTGTGGGGTTACCCCAGTGAACACAATGAAAGTCCACTCTGATCTCTTGGGGTTTATATTTATTGGAGAGACAGGGTCAATAAATAAAAACAAGGATTAGACTTACTTATTGTAGGGGGAATAAGTAATATAGGGATATAGTGAGGGTGAAATTTTAGATGTAGTAGTTAGAGCAAGTCTTACTGCACTGATACTTAGTAAAAGACTTGAAAGAGTTAGTGAGGCTCTGGGAGAGCTTGGCACTCAGAGACTAACTTATGATACACCAGACTTGATTTGTGCCAGCAGGAATGCCTTGTGTTTATCATTCCAGAAGGTAGAAAGCGACAAGTGTGGTGTGGAAGCCATAAGGTTGAGATGCATCCTGTCTGACACATCAAGTCTGATGTGAGACAAGCCTTCTAGAAAGAGCTTGCTATTATGACAAAGCCTCTCCCTCAATTACCCATCAATCCATTAACCAGTTAACCCATGAACTGATTATGAGAGCTTTTATGACCCAATCACCTCCCAGTGGTCCTGCCTCTTATCACTGGTGCATTGGAGATCAAGTTGCCAACACATGAAATTTGGGAGACACATTCAAACCATAGCATCAGGCATATATAACAGTTTTTCCTCCTGATGTGGTAAAACAAGGAGAAGTCACAGAAGAGACACTGTGCCAGGGAATGGTATTTGTGGAGTAAATTCTCGGAATTATTTAACAATCTATTACCCGAAGGCCCTGTGCGTGTGGAGGAAAAGAAGTTAGCGATGGTCACCCTGATGTATTCATGTTTCCTGACTTCATGTGAAAAGTAACCTTTAGTTTGTCATCAAAAGCAGTTTCATAAGGAAGCTATTTAAGATATACATTGGGAATTTCACTAGTGATTCCTTTTATATTGATCTATGAGAAGAGACTGGATTTGCTTACCATTTTGAATTAAAAGGATACATTGATCTAATTACATTTTATTCAGGTTCTTTAATATCCCCAATCCCTGTTCTTTATGATGAAATATCACATTTCTAATGTTGTTGGCTATTGTTGGCTGAACATCCCACTCAAGTCCAGAGAGCAGGGGGCTGGAACCCAACCCGTAAGTCAATCAGAAATAATATCTGAATGGCAGACACGAGGCTCAGTAAGCCTTGCCAGGTCCTGAAATCTGATTGCACGTCCAGTATGTCAGCACACTTGGGCCTTCAGGGATATGTTTAGGTTTCCATGCACAATAATTAGTTATGAACATCTGAAGTTACACAGATGGGGTTTAAATTTATGCAAACACCCATCTTAGAGTTTCATGACATGAAGACTTGCTCTCCCCAGGGAGAAAGGCAGAATCAAGAGAACAGCCAGTTAGGTTTGATTTGCATAATCTGGTAGAAAGTGCCACTGGACAAACAGCAGCTATTCTGGGGCCTCTGTTCTGAGGACATGAACCATATTTATGGTCTAATAAACTATGTGCTCCATGAGGAGAGGGGCCATAAGAGAGCCCGGGCTGAATGTAAACTGGGTGAAGCAGCAGAAAGTCAGACATAAATATAGCAAAGTCAGGTTTCACTGGGGGAAATGAGGGCCACCTGAGTGCTCCCTACGGAGACTGGATTTAGGTGGTAGGACTCTGAGAAGTACTTAAATCTGCAGCTGTCGTCCTGCTTTTGGAATGGGATTGCATAAACCATAGAGTCAGGCTTACCTGAGAACCACGAAGTCTCTGGAAGGATGTGGAGCCATGCTGTTCAACACGTACTGGTAGATTTCTGTTTGCCTGTCCAGAGTTTCTACAACCTTCCACTGCACAAAGTCCTCGTCCCACAGGTGACGTTCTCTCAGCACACGATTCAGAACTACTGAGGGTGGTGCCTCTACCTCCACAGAAGCCTTCCATAGCCTCAGTGGGTTCCCGTCACCCACCTTGGGAAAGACACCAGCAAATGCTGAAGAGGTCATCCATGGCCCACCAAAACCTACCCTACTGCAGTGAGTGTTCAAAAACCACCACTGGTAATGTAAAGCAAAAGAGCGATGCTGCCCAGGTCAGGTTTAAAAATATAAACATTTTAATCCTTATGCTTGAAGAAGAGTAATGGTAGTCAAAATAACAATCTATTTGATTTTCATCTAGCCCATTTCTATCACAGTACTCTCAGAACATCCACTTGGACAAATGAGAACACTGAGGCACCAACTTGCACAACATCACACAGCAAAGGGGCCCAAACAGGATTGGGATCCAGAAGTCCTGCTCCATAGTCTAAACTGATTATTTATAATAGGGCTTCTTAGCCTTCTAGATAGGATAATTGAATGGTATCTGTGTCTTGATTGTTTATGTGTATGACAAGCCTGTGCACAAGCACTCATTCTGGATTTCCTCGTTGTTAGATGTAGCTTTTGTGGGATTACCTTTTTGAAAGCAAGGTCTGTATTGTCAGGGCTGGAGCATGTGACCCATCCTTTGAACTTCTCCTTGGCTTCTTTCTGGAGGCCCTGGACAAGATGCTCCAGGTAAGTGTGGAAAGTCGCCCCACTCTCCTCCAGCTGTGACCCCAAGTCTTCCAAGGTTGGTGCGTGGATCTCGGCTTCAGTGTATGAATTACGAGACTGGGCCACCATCTCATGTGGGACCTGAGCCAATGGGTACAATGAAAGCGCAACACACTGAGCTAAAGAAATGCTGAAACAAGTAATCAGAAGAAACAAAGTCATTTTGTCAACAACCAAGGTCTGAGCAATGGGCCCAGGGCCACAGGGCTAGAGATGTTTTTCTAAGATCAGTGCCAAGGTTGGGAGGGGCCTTCCTAATGTTAGGAAGTACAAAGGTCTCTAAGGCTATACTTATTATTCAACACATTGCAGGGACTTCCCAATTATTCTTTCCGTTTTCCTTTTTAATTTATTTTTATTCAGTTTGGCAAATTGTGGGCTCAGACATCTTCGCTTAGTGTGAATAGACTTAACGCACATAGATTCGTTAAGGGGAACATCAAACATGACTTAGAGACAGCATTACCTTTTAAGTACGTTTTCCCCACTGACACATGCCAACTTTATCACAGAGAGTATGTCAGATGTCTTGTTCACTTGATTTTTCTTTTTTTTAATTTTAGTATTTTTATTTATATGTCCAGCTTATTGTATTCTTATGATTCTTTTATTATTATTATTATTCATTTATTCATATGTGCATACATTGTTTGGGTCATTTCTCCCCACTTCCCCCCACCCCTACCCTCTCCCTGCCACCCTCCTTGCTTCCAGGCAGAACCTGTTCTGCCCTTATCTCTAATTTTGTTGAAGAGAAGACATAAGCATAATAAGGAAGACAAAGTGTTTTTGCTAGTTGAGTTAAGGGTAGCTATACAGAGAGATTCCTAGCATTGCTTCCATGTACAAGTGTGTTACAACCCAAGTTGATTCATCTCTACCAGACCTTTTCATTAGTTCCTGATCTCCTTCCCGTATTGACCTCAGTTGCTTTAAGGATTCTGTATTAGTTCCTCTGGAGTGGGGACATCAAATGCTTTCATGTTTTGGGTTTTCTACCTATCCCCATACCTCCAGTATGTGCTCTCTCCTTGTCATGTAACCCACGTCCAACAACATTGCTGTATTTGCCCTAGATCTAAAGTCCACATATGAGGGAGAACATATGATTTTTGGTCTTCTGAGCCTGGCTAACCTCGCTCAGAATGATGTTCTCTAGTTCCATCCATTTACTTGTGAATGATAGGATTTCAGTCTTCTTCATAGCTGAGTAAAATTCCATTGTGTATAAATACCAAATTTTCTTGATCCATTCATCAGTAGTGAGGCATCTTGGCTGTTTCCATAACTTGGCTATCGTGAATAGTGCTGCAATAAACATGGGTGTGCAGGTGCCTCTGGAGTAACCTGTGTCACATTCCCTTTGGGTATATCCCCAGGAGTGGGATTGCTGGATCATATGGCAGGTCTATATTTAGATTTTTAAGAAGCCTCCAAATTTTTTTCCAGAGTGGTTGCACTAGCTTGCATTCCCACCAGCAGTGTACAAGGGTTCCTTTTTCCCCACATCCTTGCCAACACCCATTGTTGGTGGTGTTTTTGATGATGGCTATTCTAACAGGGGTGAGGTGGAATCTTAGTGTGGTTTTGATTTGCATTTCCTTTATGGCTAGAGATGGTGAGCATTTTTTCATGTGTTTTTTGGCCACTTGAATTTCTTCTTTTCAGAAAGTTCTGCTTAGTTCAGTTGCCCGTTTCTTTATTGGTTCATTGATTTTGGGAGAGTTAGGTTTCTTAAGTTCCTTGTATATTCTGGTTATCAGTCCTTTGTCTGATGTATAGCTGGCAAATATTTTCTCCCCACTCTGTGGGTGGTCTCTTCAGTTTAGAGACCATTTCTTTTTTTGTACAGAAGCTTTTTAATTTTATGAAGTTCCATTTGTCCATTCTTTCTCTTAGTTGCTGAGCTGCTGGGGTTTTATTGAGGATAGATAGCCTATACCTATTACTTCCAGAGTGTTTCCTGCTCTTTCAAGTAATAACTTCAGAGTTTCAGGTCTGATATTAAGGTCTTTGATCCATTTTGAGTTGATACTAGTACAGGGTGATAAACATGGATCTAGTTTCAGTTTCTTGCAGACATATAACCACTTTTCCCAGCAACATTTGTTGAAGAGGCTGCCTTTTTTCCATTGTATATTTTTGGCACCTTCATCAAAAATGAGGTGGGTATAGTTGTGTGGATTCATATCTGGGTCCTCTATTCTGTTCCACTGGTCTTCATGTCTGTTTTTGTGCCAGTACCATGCTGTTTTTATTGCTATTGCTTTGTAATATAGTTTGAAGTCAGGTATTGTGATACCTCCTGCATTGCTCTTCTTGCTGAGTATTGCCTTGACTATTCACGGTCTCTTGTGTTTCCAAATGAACCTTAGGGTAGATTTTTCAATCTCTGTGATGAAAGTCATTGGGATTTTGATGGCAATTGCATTAAAAATGTAGATTGCTTTTGGTAGTGTAGCCATTTTTACTATGTTGGTTCTACCGATCCATGAGCATGGGAGATCTTTCCATCTTCTGTAGTCTTTCTCAATCTCTTTCTTCAGGACTTTGGAGTTTTCCTTATAGAGGTCATTCACATCATTTGTTAAGTTTACTCCTAGGTATTTGATTTTTTTTGAGGCAATTGTAAATGGAATTGTTTCCACATATTCTTTCTCAGTTTGTTCACTGTTGGTGTACAGAAAAGCTAATGATTTTTGTAAGTTGATTTTGTATCTTTCCACGTTGCTTTAGCTGTTTATGGTGTCTAGGAGTTTTTGGGTAGAGTTTGTTGGGTCTTTAAGATATAGGATCATATAATCTGCAAACAGTGATATTTTGACAGTTTTTTTTTTACCTATTTGTATTCCTTTTATTTCTTCTTCTTGTTTAATTGCTCTGGCTAGGAATTCCAGTACTATGTTGAATAGGAGTGGATAGTGGGCACCTTGTCTTGTTCCTGATTTTAGGGGAAATGGTTTCAGTTTTTCACTGTTAAGTATGATGTTGGCTGTAGTTCTGTCATATATAGCCTTTGTGATGTTGAGGTACTTTCCTTCTGTTCCTAGTTTTCTTAGAGCTTTTATCATGAAGCGGTGTTGGATCTTATCGAAGGCTTTTTCTGCATCAAATATGACTTAGAAACATCATTACCTTTTTAGTATGTTTTCCCCACTGACACATGCCAATTTTATCACAGAGAGTATGTCAGATGTCTTGTTCACTTGATTTTTTTAAAATTTTAGTATTTTTATTTATATGTCCAGCTTGTATTGCTTATGATTCTTTTGGCTAAAGCAGTTGCAAAGCTCTGCGTAACTTCAAGTTTCATAGGACTCTATACGCAACTAGCATAAAGCCTTTAAGCATTATAGTATGAAAGAATTCTCTTAAGAAGTGAATTCCCTATTGCAGAACACTTAATTCTTTACCATATGTGTGGCTATCATATGTTGTCATTGATTTTCACTAGCAAGGATTACTCAGTATGAGAGGGGGAGGGAAAGAGAGAGAGAGACAGAGAGAGAGAGAGAGAGAGAGAGAGAGGAGAGAGAGAGAGAGAGAGAGAAATATGGAGCCTAATCAAATCCTGAGGACAGATATAACATATTTGGTTGGCTGGCCTTGAACCTGACAAAGGAAAGAGATGTAACTGTTTCTGTGAAAACCATCATCATGGTGACCTCAAGTGTCTTTAACTATCAAGCCTCGATTGTGTAGCTAGCTCCTCACATTTCTTGGAGGCAAAGACCAAGAGTGATAGAATGTACTGTTGTCATTATAAAATCAGGAGCAAACAGATATAAACCATAAATGTAGCAACAAGTCCAAGCGTCTTATCTAGTTCCAAAAGCTATAAGGAAAGGAAGGCAGAGCCTTTTACTCACCTCAAAAAGTCTGTTGCATTCCGTGATCATGTGGGCAAGCCCCTGAGCTGCAGCCAAATTCTCATTGAGGTCCTTTTGATCTGGCTTCCCAGTGGCATATTTCTTCTGGATGACTCTGTAATTGCATGTGAGTATGCTGAGTGGATCCCAAACCAAAGCTCTTTCCCCAATTCCCAGCTCATCCCTTTTTTCTATTCATCCCCAGATGCTACCCAGATCCCAGGCTTTCTCATTTCCAAATAAAAACAATGACCACACAACTTAGATATTCTGGGTAGGGCCAACAGTCTGACAGTCTACAATGAAAATCTTGGAAAAATACAAGGGCAGGAAGAACTGTAGAAGAAATTAATCTATTTTTTTCTGAAATTTGAAACTGCTCAACTGCAAGCTTTCATGCTTTGTTTTTAAATATAGCCTTTTAAAACCAAAGATTAAAAGATACTACTTTTGTGTATTTTTGTCCTCCTTCCCATTCATACCAACAAAATAAAATGAAACTCCTCAGGCTTTCTGGATCATAGCTGCCATTCTTCAGTGCTACCTCGATAATTCTATTAACCTGAGTCCTACGAATAAGGTTTCCTTAGAACACATTCTCAGTTTCTCAGTCAGTATATAAAATGAGTGCTAAGAAATCCTGCAGTTGAAATCTAGCATAAGAACAGTTTTTTTTTTTTTTCATCTTTATGAATAGAGGCCTGATTTTAGGGTTACCATGCATTGCTAAAGGAGACTCACTTTGGAGAGCTTTCTTTCTTCAGTAAGTAAAGATGGAAAAGGGAGGGAGCCAGACACACGCCAGATTCTGTGTATTTTTGTCCTCCTTCCCATTCATACCAACAAAATAAAATGAAACTCCTCAGGCTTTCTGGATCATAGCTGCCATTCTTCAGTGCTACCTCGATAATTCTATTAACCTGAGTCCTACGAATAAGGTTTCCTTAGAACACATTCTCAGTTTCTCAGTCAGTATATAAAATGAGTGCTAAGAAATCCTGCAGTTGAAATCTAGCATAAGAACAGTTTTTTTTTTTTTTATCTTTTATGAATAGAGGCCTGATTTAGGGTTACCATGATTGCTAAAGGAGACTCACTTTGGAGAGCTTTCTTTCTTCAGTAAGTTAAGATGGAAAAGGGAGGGAGCCAGACACACAGCCAGATTCATAGGTGTCATCTGATTCTCTTCCACCAAGTTTACAACGTCGTTTAGGAAGCACAAGAGGGTCTGCAGGGCCTCCCTGTTTTCATCGGCTAGTAGTAGGATGGCAGCCTGCACGGCCTGTAGTCGCTGCTCTTTGGGGACGTCTGAGGAAAAGTGAGCACCAGGTCATTAGAGGGACAATGCAGAGTCAGCAGGAGAGAGTACAAAAACTCCACTTCTCAACACGAAGAAACCCTGACAACAACATCTAACTGCTTAGGCCTCACAGCTAGTGAGAGGCAGAGCTGGAATTTGAACTCCATCCATCAAACCCTAGAACTCACAGTCTGAATGACCCAGCTATACTAAAAAAGCAACACCACAGTCCTTGCTCTTCCACTCTGAGCAATCAGCCTGCTCCTAGGTTCAGATTGTTTCTCTGGTCTGGTGGAAGCTGGCAATGGACTCAGGTTCTGTGAATGGCTTCTTCCTTGCCCACCCTCCTTGCCAGACCACTTGGGAAGCATGCTTATGATACCCAAGGCTCTGTGGGATGCAGTTTGAAAGCCACAGGGAAAGAGGACAGTAGGCTGACCTCTCCTCACCCCAACAGAACAGCCAGGCTAGGACACCAGCATGACATAATTAGCCATGAGTGGTGGGCCCATTTGGCTGTCTGCAGTCACCCCCACGAAGCCAGTACCTTGATGTAAGCCTAGTACAACTTTCTCATTCTTACTAGTCACCACAGCTGGGTTCAGATGATGTATTCAATTGACTTTACATATAGACCCTATGTCACCTGTTCTATAATCCTGGGGGTAATGGAAATTGATGTTATTCTTGGGAGAAGAGGAACCAGACTCCTTAAGGTTATGGGGGGGTGAATGGTCTGGCTCAGTCCCATTTTCCTTGAGGGTGATGTGGTGGTGGTGGACATGGGTTATACAGGCATTGGAGGAAAATGGCCCAACAATATGAAGTGAACTAGATGGAAAAATCACAGCGAATAGGTGTGAGATGCTGCTTTTCACTTTCCCCCTGACTGTGTTGGTTAAGTGATCATTTAGGTTTAATTCACTGATGCAGTCAGGAGCTCACTTCAGTTAATACTGTTGTCTGTCTTAAAAGGCCACGTTCTAGAGCAGAGGTCTCCATGGAAGTGTGTCTGTACTCCCAAGGGGGTGGGAGAATTTGCAAGGACAATCCCTTGAGGTGTGGGAAGAAATATCAGAACTTCCAATTGTGTTTATGTTTTCTCTTACCCATTAAAAATACTGATTGAATATACTTTATGTACATTCTGTATCATAATATATCACAATACATTTAAGTGATTAAAAACAAATAAATATGCACATTCAGATACTATTTATCAGTAAATAAATAAGTTACTATTTATTTTAAAAATGGTGTTTGCTGCTCTAGAGGGGCTGTGGTGTGATCTGTCTAGGCTGTAGACCACCAAAGGATTTGTGTGTACGTTAGACTTTCTTATCCCTTTCCAGCATCCTAGAGGAGGAGCTTACATCTCAAGATGGCCATCCTCCTGGTTCTGGTCAGTCAACAAATCCAAATTTCTGGAAAAATGTGACCATGCAGTCAGCATTCTAAAACCCATCTCCCCCACCCCCACCCCCATCACGTCTATTGCTTTGAGATATACACGTATTTTGTAGAGAAAAGCTGTTTTGTTTAAATGATAGCAAAACCATTTTCTTTTTCTTGTTGGTTGCTGAAACAGGTATTACTAATGACTTTAAGCTTGGGAGCAGTTTTATAAATTCATCTTGAGGTACTGAACTTTAAAATATGCTGCTATAGGTAATATTTAATATGTATATATCATTTAACTTTATCTGGCCAAACTTTTTTTCCCTGTCAACATTTTTTCCTGTCATTTATTATTTCCATATGTTGCCTCAATTTCACTTCTGTTCAAAAAATATCTTTTGTCTGTTATTTTCTACTAAAAAGACTTGAGAAGGCCAAGTATTAATACCTAAACTCACTGTTCATTTTGCATCTTAACTTTCTGACCCTCCTGTTACACATGACACTAGTGTGGTTCCTGCCTCTTTCTTGGATCTTGGGAGACTATTCTAGACCTGCCTGTCTAGGTGCTGAGAATATATGATCATCTGGGTGACTATCAGCACTTCAGGATCAACAACCCTTCTGTTTTGAACACCTGTATTCTCCCTTCTCCCAAATCAGTTTCCCTTCTCCTCTTCCCTTTCCACATTCTCTCCATTATCAAACCTTAAAATGGTAAGGTTGTCTTTGATCCCTTCACTCTTCTCCCTCTTATATATTGATAGGATTAAAGTTTTCATGAGCCACTCCACACTCCATTCAAGTTAATCATCGGATAAAAGCCAAAGAAAGTAACATAGCTGAAAATAGAACTTCTCTGGAGAAGTGGGAAGGAATTGTTCCTCTTTTTCCTGATACCAGTTTGGAAACAGGGACTCTGTAATCTATCCATGGAATATCTTGTTTCCAATCTCTCTGCTGTAAATCATGGAAGGTAATCCAGAACCTTGGTCAGTGTGCCAGCTCCTAGCCCTCCATTCTTGTCTACCCAGTACACTATTCCAGATTCATGGATCAAAAGAGTGATTCTTCATCCTTGTGGCAAGTGCAGCCTTGGCTACCTACCCAATATCCACTCTCTCCTTCTTTCTCACTAAGGAAACACATGTTCTACACATGTATGAATATGGAACATTGAAATCTGTCAAGGTCATTTTAAGAAGTAGAGTGGGGGAAGAGGTAGAATAATGGAGGGAATGAATCAAACTGGGGTACAATACATGTATATATGGAAATACCACAACAAAACCCCTATATAATTACCATATACTAACAACAATTTTTTAAAAAAACCACACATGTTCTATTTAGGCGTGGGCAGCAATGTACTCAGGGAAATGAGCCTCTTCCTCTGACCCAGGAATGAACCATGTTGGCTTAAACCAAAAATGATAATTCCATTCCTCTTTCCATTGACTGGTTTAGGGAGGAAGATGTAAACCACTTTTTGGCTGAGAAGAACAAGACAAATTCTGAGAGCTTCTGCAAAATTTATCTCCCTGCTTAAAAAGAGACCTATGCAAGGAGAAGCCCTTTCACTCTCTTTTTTCCTTTGAATGTGATTTGGGGAAGACAAGATAATGAGAAGTTGTGACAATCATATTGCAACTTCAAGAGGAAAGCCAAGAGACTCTGCCCTGGCATCACTGAGCTGTAGACACCCAACACTGCAATGGTTTAATTTCAGATGTTTTTGTCATATGAGATAGTAAAATGTCCTAGTTATTTAAACAATTGTTTGTTGGATTTTTCGGTTGTGTCTTTACTGCCGAGAGCATGATAATGGATAAGTCCCCCAATAACATCTGAAGGTTCCCAGTGCTTAATGAATCAAGTATAAACCCCTTGCCCTACCTTTCAATGCCCCTTCTTGTAGACCCTGGCTTCATTTTTCAGTGTCATCTGGTATCATGTTGTACATTTACCATCCATGCAGGACAGACAAATACCCTGTGTTCCTCTTATATATATGCTCACATAACTTGCTTCACTCGGAATATGTTCCTTACATATCTCAGTCTTCAGCTGTCACTTTCTCCACCAAGTTCTCATTGCTTATCTCAACCTTGTTGGACTTGTCTTTGTAACCTTTTAGTGGAATTTCTCCAACCTTGTATTGCAGTCATTTATGTTCAGGTCTCATCTCTTTCAGTTGAAACTCCTTAAGAGCAGAGAGTGAGTCTCACACATCTGTATGCTCCACAAAACTCAGCACAGCATCCTGTACATAAGCCCCTTTCCCTAAATGTTTGCTCAGCTAGAATAAAGCCCTGCTTTGATCTGGCTTCTTGGTTGTAAGTCTCAGAAAGAGCCAAAGTCACTTATCTCTTAGAAGTAATCTAGCGTTAGCCTTGAAGTAGTGTCAACTTCAATCCAAGAAGTGATTAAACGTAAAGACTCATATGTGATATAAGGGAGGCTTAATCGAAAAATGGAGTGTGACCTCTCATAGCAACACCATCATAAACGTCCTATGTTTGGGCTCTAGTAATGTGCATTATTAATTCAACTTAATCTATTCATTTTGACAAAATAGTATTTATTTAGTGGGTTACCACTTTATTCTGTTTTTACAAGTGGTACTTATTACAATCATTTTTGAATTTACAATATTATACACTCCTTAAACACATTTAGTACAGAAGCTCTATGGTAAATTGGATCAATTCCAAATCATGGTTCATTTCAGGTACATTTTGCTATAAAGTCAAAGTCGACAGGCCAAATGCTTTTTTCTAAAGAATTGACCTTGGTCCAAGAAAATAATTAATAATCCTAATGTCATCATATCTAGAAGAGATTCACATGTTTATAACTAATATCCTCATTGCAACTGCCTTTAGCAGGACAGGCTTTTAAATGAGGGATTGTTATTTTCAATGATTATTTTCATTATAATGGCCTTGATTTAAAAATAACTTAAAAAATTTCAAGTGAGAATATAAATGAATCATTAAGCTGAAGCCTTGATTTGGTTTCCTCACTTTTCTCCAATTTAAATACATTTTCTTTTTTGTTTCTGGTCTTTTTAATCTATTTCAATTTTCTATATTCCAAAGAAATGTTGACTTTTTTTGTGGTGCTGGGGATTGAACCCAGGAATTCCCACATGACAGACAAGTGCCCTACCACTGATCTAGACTCCCAACCCCAAATGCTTATTTAAAAAAAAATAAATTTTAATCAATACCTATATACAAAAATGTCTATTGTGTTCCCCTTTCATTTTAAGCTTTTTGAAGCTTAGTTTGAGATCTCTCACAAAACCCTAGTAAGAAGTAATTTTTAATGTCAAAAAAAGTATATCATATGCTAAAAAAAATTGTGTGATTTTCAAAGCAACCTGTAAACAAAGGCTACTTTTGGCAAGGAGAATAGGATTATAACATTTATAGAGTTCTTTGTGGATTCATGTATTACTAGCATAAATAAAACTCAACCTGTAAAGATTTTTTTTTAATGAGTAGATACATGTGCGAGCTTATATTTGTATTGGTCCCACTTACATTGATAGATGTGAAGGAAGGTCTCACTGAGCTTGTTGGTGAAAAGGGGCTCGGGGAGGTCCCGAAGAACTGTTTCACCATATCTGCCACATCATAAGCAGACTGGTCTTCATAACTGACGTTCTCAGGAAAATTCTCATTCATTTGACGCAGGGCATGAATTCGAGACTTTACTCCAGACTTGCGAAAAAGACCCACCTGAAACGAGTCACAAGGACATATTAACCCGGTCCTCTTTCTCCCAGTACCTCAGGGTGTGATGAGAAGGCCTGGGACCAGGACTTCATGAACTGGGATTGTATCCTAACTTGCAAATCCTGAATTACCAGGGTAGCTACTTTAGGCAGAAGCACAACACTGACTTTCTTTCCTATAAAATGAAGAGTAATACCCCACCTCATAGGGCTGTTGTGGAGATTAAGAAAGCATACCTGAATATGTCTTGTGACTTGTAAAGTTTTACCATACAGCAGATGCTATTATTTTATTTATTTATTTATTCAACAAGTAGAGATTAGGTATCTACTCTGTACAAAGCATTCTTATGTTAGGAGTCATTAGTGAGCAGAGCAGACAAAATTCCCTGCACTCCAGAATTTACATTTTCCTAGGGATTTTGAGAAAACTGGTCAAGGTGTTTGGTGGAAATAATGTTCCTGGTGGAGGGATATGCCAGATAAGCACAAGTATCCAGTGCCCCTTTAGGGAAGAAGTCCATGGGGAATACGTTCATGAAACAAAGAGCACATGTTTCTACTTATGGGTCTTATTTGCTTTTCCTTCTTTGTCATCCTTGGCACCTGGGCTCTATGCCTCATATTGTGCCTAGCACTGAATACTTCACCTGCTTAGTTATTATACGTATGTGCTTTCTAGTCAAATGATTATTTAAAAGACATTAGCATATCACTTTCTTTTATTTTCCTCCTCTCCCTCCTTGACTGCAAATACACAGTCTAATGAACTATTATCAAGTCAACATTGTATCACTTCCTTTCTATCTCTAGGACTTAAACTCCTGCTCGACAAATACACAGAGTAATAAGACACCAGAAAGATAATAGCTCCAATAAGAGTGAGTGAGGATAGCAGAGCCTCACTGGAAGAATGAAGGTCTTGCCAGGGTTGGGCAGATTATGCTCAGTCCTCTACAAGTCTTCTCTACCCTGGACTAGTCTCAATCCAAAAAAGAGTTGGGGTATCCTGGAAAGCCAGGCTTAGAGTGAAATAATATGTCTGACATTTTAAAGCACCCATAGGGCATTGAGTTGCTCAAAACTCAATCTTTCTACCCCTAGTCTCTACTCTTCTCAGTCCTCAGTGGCATGTGGTTTGGCCCACTCTCTAAAGCAAGGTAGACTATTCCTGAGTGGTTGGATAGGTAGACAGTGATCACTGGAGTTGGCCACTGCTTTTCCTCCCCACACCTAGAGAAATACATGAGCACAGTTGTCTCAATATCCCCTCTGTGAGCCAAGTACATACTTGGACCTTGGCCTAAGTTCAGGTATCTGACGAAGGCTCTCTTGATTATTGCTGTGAGAGCTGCCCTAATTCTTTTAAACTGCAGTGACAGCAAGGAAGAATTCCAAGTTTTTGTATATATCAGCTGCAAGGGGAAATTATACACTTCTTCTTTTGGGGCATAAAAACAGAATTTATAGTAATGCTACTTTGCATTCCAAGGCTTATCACCCTAATTCTACAGATCAAGATATTCAGACAAACTATTATTTAAAATGTTAATTTTCTTTTTCATTAGTGTGGAATGTCTAGAAAATGAGAGAATCTAAAGAACATTTACTTTCCTTTGTGTGGCATCTATTTCAAATTGCATCAAAGTGCATATGAAGAAAGCATGTATTGTCAAAAGAAAAATTCAAGATGCCTAATGGGTGATTTTTGAAACAAGAGCCATCTTCAATTTGTTTACATCCTTGAAGTTGTTAATTCTGGAAGGAGGCCTAGGACTGTGTACATCACAGAGTTATGTAGCATGGGAGTTCTCAGAATCTCAATGCCCCAAAGATGAATTCTTAACTGTGACTCACAAATTATCCTCATCTGAGTTAGTATTATCCAATTTGAGAAAACCTCCTCCTTTTTTAAACAGCAGAGAAATATTGATTGGGATCCATAAAAGAGTGTGTTTGTGGGGCTGGAGGTGTGGCTTAAGCGGTAGAATGCTTGCCTGCCTAGCAGCATGAAGGCCTGCAGTTCAAACCCCAGTGCTGCAAAAAAAAAAAAAAAATGTTTGTGTTTACATTGTTATCTTTCTGATTATGCACTGATGTTCATGCACACAAATATCCCAAGGATACTTTCTTTGTATTGTTTAGTTTCTGAGTTTCTTTCTCATTTCAGCAAATGTTTTATTTTAATTATTTTAGACATGTCTGGAGCTCTCCAGCTGCAGGCTCTGAGCTGCATCTTCTGACTTATAGCTCATGGGATGTCCATGGGGTTGTCAGGGATTTATTTCTTCTGTCTAGTTTCTGACAATAATGTTCCCACCTTGCCCTCATCTTCTGGGGGATGGTGTGGGTTCTATGGATTTTTGTTGGAAGCCCAGAAGGAAATTTCTCTCTTAAACTTAATAAAGGAAAAGTGATCTCAAATTAGACCAGATTCCAGATGTAGTAGCTAAGCATGGCCAAAGGGAAAGAAGTGCAGTCATCAAAGGGAAGCTGATGAATGAACTAACCCTGGAACCACCCTATTTTCTGCATCTCAGTTATTGTTTCTATGTGAGATCATGGATTTCTGAACGTTTAAGCCACTTGGGTTGGGGCTTCCGTTACTTGCAGTAGACTGCACCTACACACAGTAAGTAGAAGGTCTTTCTAATAGTGAAGAGATGCTGAAACTAGAGGTGAGTGTCTCCTATCTACTCTCTCAAAGAATGACTGATTGCCATAGTCATTTCTTCTTCTAAAAGTTTTCAATGCAGGCATAAAATTTCCAGCTTGGACTAAAGATGTTTTTCTAAGTTAGAAGTAGAGAACTGAAGAAACCTATTGCTTCTGATGACATATTGGAAGGTCACTCAGGTTCATTATGAGCAAGACCTAAGGAGTGCAACCTGTCTGTCATTTGCCTCTGTATCTGTCACTAGTTGTTGGGTGACCTGGGCAGTCACATAGGGCCCTGGTTGAATGCTCTGTCACCATTTTGAAATTCTCAATACATGAACAAGGCATCCCATTTTTTTTTCTTTCTTTCTCTCTTCTCTCCAGTGCTGGGTTCTGAACCCAGGGCCTTGCAATATAGCTGAAGCTACATTTGTAACCTCAGAATTCTACATTTTCATTTTGTACTGGGCCCTACGAATAACATAGCAGGTCCTGCTCTCATCTGTCTCTAAATCTCTAAAGTACAGCTCAAACATCCTCTCGAATGCAAAATCCATTTCAGAAGCATCTCTCTTGCCTGTGCTCTCTGTTTACCTAAAGAATGAATGGTGCTATTCCCTGGTATTAATTCCACACTCCCTTCTCTCTTGTCTTCCACCTAAAAACCCAGCTATGAAGAAGCAGCTCAATTTAAACAGATGGTCCCACAGCATCCCTCAATTTATCTGAAGTAGACAGTAGGCAAAGTGATGAACAGACAGCTGGGTGGAGGTTTCTGCACTGCGTATAGAGTGTAGCACAATTAGACTTTTAAAATGTCCTGCTCCATTAGAAGGAGTGGTTTGGGCAAGAGTGCTACATTAGAATTCAAATTTCATCTAAATAATATTAAATCTCCTCCTTGGCATCCTGTTTATGCTAATCCTTTCAGAGCTTAATGATGTTTATCAGGACTTCCATTTCCTCTTCTCTAGAAATGTGCTCAGCTAATGAAGAAAGGTTGGCTTATTCAGAGAGATTCATAAGCAGAGTGTGTGGTGGGCTGGGATTTTAAGCAGTGCAGGTTTAGCCTCTCTCTGCAGTGGCTTCACATTCATCAGGAGCCTGATATAACCTATGCTTCTGTGCACAGTTGATTTAGGGCAGAAATAAAAGCTCAGACAACAAAGCAAGCCTCCTCTTGCACGCTACTCTGTCTGAATACAAATGGTTTGTAATTGAAAGCTAAACTTCCTCATTTCATGTACAGCCATCTGCAAAGTGCAAATGGATAGACTGTGCGTCATCATATACAAACTGCTCTGCACTGGGGAGTGTGGGAGGTGAAATGCTGGCAGTGTTTCAGGACTCCATGGGCTGGATTCAATTGTCTGCACTGAGTGCTTATGTTTGAGATGAATGCTGAGTACATGGGATAGGGGTTCTGCTGCTTCACTGCAGGAAGTCTCCTTCTTGGAGATCAAGACCAGAGCCTCAGGAGAGTCTTCTATGGTGGCTCCTGTTGAGAATGGCTTAGAGGAAGGATATTTGGAGACTACCTGGTCTTCTACAATTGACTCTAGGGCTGAGATCACAAAGCTCTGTGCAGACCTGAATTTTTCCAATTTCCAAAAAAGGTGCTGTTGACAAAGGAAGAAACTTCATGTCTGGTTTCTCTCCTCTCCTTTTACTCTTGCTTCTCTCCTTTTTGATTCATTAGATTTTTTTTTTATTTGCTCTTAACAATATATGAACTATCCAGTGCTGTCTTCTCTAGTACTTGATTTTCTGGGTTCTTTGTTTCTCTAGTTTCTCCTTGTTTCCTTCCTATTACCACCTTCCTTTTCCACAGGAACCAGACATGTGGCCTCTGTGTGTGTTCCCCACTGTGTCAAGCAAGGGGAGGGACATATAGGGTAAGAAACACTGCCAGGATTAAGGCAGGAACTGCCTGTGGTGAAAGTTCCTTTGAAAGACTATAGATTCCTCTTTGTGACAAATCCAAGAGAAGCCTGGCCCTATTCATTCTGGTTACATTTAGAATTTGTATTTATGTCTTTGAAAGGAATCTTCACTACAATGCTTTGCTCATACAGCTTTTTGGCAATGAGATTCTCTCAGATTTTAAAATTACAGAGAGACTTGAGATGGACACTGGGAAATAAGCCAGTCAGTAGGTGCTGAGGAGGTTTGAGGACTACTCTATTTACATGACTTTCTTCTCTCTAGACAATTTCGGCTTTGGAAGGAAGCTGGGACCCAATCATGGCAGTAACATAGGTGCTGCACATCATTCAGAATCTACAGAGAGAGGGGACGGTTTCCACGCCACATTAAAGGCTGGTGAGCAGAATGATGGTATTACAGTTCATTTCTTTACACCCAACGCTGTTCAAGAAAATATTTAGGATGCCTTACAATGCTATATAAAATACCATAAGTTTAACTAAAGATAACAGATAGGAAATTTTAGCAAGAGGAAAATAACAATAGAAAAAGGTAGCTGCAACTAGCAATGAGTTTGATGTAGAAAATTTGTGCCAAAAAGTGCATATATTTACTTCAGACAGAGTACATAGTTCTCTCCAAGTTTTCTAGCAGTGAATACAGAGGAAAACATACTGGTTGAATGAACCTGGTGTCTGTAATATGAAACAGAGACCAGTTGTCCAAAAGAAACAAATTTTCAAGTGCTGGAGCCAGATGAAAAAATAATCCCTCCTTCCATTCTCATAGAAAGGTATCATCAACAAAATCTTGATAATGGATTCATTAATGAGTTGTGTAGGGCCACTTCTTAAAGTGCGCCTCAATGCTAGAGACAGCATCATCCCAAAGTCCACTGCCATTCTAGTAGTGCAGTAGAATACAGTGGTTAAAAACTTGAATTCTGCAGTTAGATTTACAAGCAAATGTTGGTCCACCATTGAGACTAGGGTGTTAACATCGCCCAGGGTGGATGTAGGAGTAAATGAACAATGAAAGCAGAACATGCAGGACACCTGCCTGAAACATGCCAGGCAATCAAGAAAGGTTTTAGAGAACTGATGGCATAGGTGGACTACATTTCCTTTAGGCATTCCTGAAAAAACACTGCTTTCTCTTAAGAGAGTTTTTACTAATCAGCATTAGCTGGCCATGGTAATGGAGCAAACTGCAATCTGTGCTTGGTAAAGACAGGGCCAAGAACTCTAAGAGAGTCATAAAGAAGTTGAGTCTGGTGTATACCTTTACAAAAACTGAGAAGCATGGAAAAATTCTGTCGGAAATCAAAGCCTACCTTCCATAAAACACAATTTTGGGTCTGGACCAAAAAAATAACAATGTATAATTGGGGCCATAAAATCATAGGTCAAAGGGTGTGAATGCAATACTTTTAACACTGGAAATAAGATCAGAGTGGGTTTTTCCAAATATTCAGCTGAATTGATCTCTGAATATTTCTTTAGTAAAATACACACAGAACATTAACTTTAATTAATGTGTATTCTTGGTGGAACCTCTAAAATTAAAAAAAAATTATGTGTAAGTAACCAGATTTATTGGCTTGCTCTACTGGGATGCTACTTACATCAATTAATGTTGGGCATCTGAGAAATAAGAAGCAAGCTATTAAAGTAATTTTCAAAACAAAAACAGCTATCATCACAACAACAGCAGTTACCCTGTCCTCTACTATACATCCAAATATGCAAAAATGTATCTGTACATTCTCTAGATAAGAAGAGTCAAAGGAGATCATGCATTTAGTTTAATCAAAGATGATTTCAAATGACAATGATACTGATGTTTTCTCCACTGAAAACTGGTATTTAATTCATCAAGAGATCATTTTGATTCTAATTGTGGACTCAGTTTTGGTGTCTCTACAACCATTAGTTGTCAAAATTTTGAGTCATATAGCTTAGCTCATTCCTATCCACTGTTCCAAGACCACACAGAGTAGGCCATTAAAGAGTAGGATGAACAAAGATCATTATAAAATACCTGCCTAAATATATTCCCACTACTCAGGGTTGCAATTTATGAAGCAGGAATGTGACTTTTATTTTAGACAGAATGTCTAAGAAACTATGGGTGTTAATTTGGAGAAGCAAAATTTTCTCTTTGTAAATTATAGGATGAACTTCACTCTGGACTTAATCACATTCCATGATTATGGTAGTCACCAAACAATCCCATGGGCAGAAAGTATCCCTGAATATTTTGTTAAGTATGAGGTTTATATTTTAGATGAGGGATAATTGATTTAGCTGATACTTTTTAATATTTTACTTGAACATGTAAAAAAAGACAGAAATAAATCTGTCTTTGGTTTAAGCTTTTCTGGTCATGGAAAAAAATTAATGAAAGGAGACATAAAAACAGAATTCTTTTTTTGCAAAAATAACAGGGATAAAAGAATGCTATAAAATAATGCCGGGACAGTAATTCAAAAGGACATAGCTTTTTCAAAAAATACATAGCTGACCTCCCAGTTTCCAGGAAATGTAAATTAGACATCACAGGTACAAACTACTAACATTAACTTTCTGCAATCACTCTAGAATGTCACTCAAGTAGCCAATGAGGAAACAGCCTCAAATATCTTCACAGGGATGTAGCCTAGTCACATCAAATTTTGACATATAAAGATCAGTCTTCCATTTAAATGATAAGAAAAGGTGAAGGGGAAGTGGGGAAGAGGAAGATCACAGTGCTTTTTCCTTTCCATGAGGCATGTCTTGCCTGACACTTGGCAGCCCTGGCATTCTATCAACCCAAGCCCGAGTTTGGGATTACAGCCATACCTGATCCAAGCAGTTGCTGCGTAGATATCTCAGCGCCTGCTGAATGCTCTGAGGCAGGGGCTGTCCTGTCCTCTGGACATGTACCATGAGAGGAACACCAAAGACAGCCTTGTCTTTGTAGTCGGGAACTTTCATCCTCTTCATGAACTTTGGAACTGACCTAGAATTCACAGAAACCAGGTCATGCAAGGCCCGTGGGGCACACTGTGGGGAGAGGCTGTGGAAGCAAGAAAGAAGGAGGCCAAGATCTTGTTGGAATACCCACAGGCACAGGCAGAATTCAACATTCTCTCTATAGTAATCACAGTCCATGGTAGTACCAAGTGTGGCACTTGACTGGGTGATATTTCTACTAGATAGCATGATTCACATCAGCAGAATGTATTTGTAGCTCTGTCTTAAAGTCAGGTGGACATTTTTCCAATTGAATTGTGACTGACACATCTCTCAAGTGACAAACTCTTAAAAGTCCCCACCAGAACAAAACAAAACACATTTAAAACTTATAACAGGAAGAAGAAATCTGGTTGGGGTTGGAGGAGAAAGGAAGGAGAGAAGGTGAATCACATATAATGGTTATGTCCTTAGTTTTCTAGAGTTAGTTGTAAAGGGAATTTTAATACAAAAGCATATATTGATTTGATTGCAATTTATAACCTGAAATGTTTTTGTAAAAACCTCCATTGATTCTTCTATATATGAAATACACAACATAGGACAGTCACTGATGGACACATTTTATATTTTTATCAAATCCACTACATTGTTTACAACAGGTCCATATAGGAGTTCCAACATATGCTTTTGTCAGTTCCTTAATTATAAAGCTTTACTTGTTTGTATTTGCCAATAAAATAAAAGCAGAAATGTATCTGAAGAATTAAATGCTCTTTGAATTAACCAATACCCTATGTTGTGAGTTTTGCATCAGGACAGAAGGTACAAGTGACAGATGTTTCCTTGCAAACTGCCAGAATTATTTTATGGCAAGTTTACTTTTAATTCCTCTGTTCATAATTAATCACTCTTTCCTTGTCTCTTTTTCTTTCTTGGAGCTTGATTGCCTTCCCTGGAAACCAACTGAGAGCTACAAATAAAGCAATGCTTCCTGCAGGCGGCATTGGGCCGAGCTGGGCTGCCCAGAAGGCAGGTGGGAAGCAGAAATCTACGCGTGGCTTCCAGAGAGGGTAGTGCAGGCAGTGAGTGGATTCTCCAGACACCATAAGGTAGATCCTGAAGCTTTTGCAACCACACATTTAGCTTTGAACACATGGCACCCTGAATGTGCTACGCACCAGGTCCAGCCGTGCTTGTTGGACAAGGAGTACTTCTCCATGATGGCTGTGAGACGGAGCAGCGAGAAGCGCTGCAGCAGGTTCAGCTGGCTGGCTGTCTGGCTGCTGATGTGGGGCGATGCTGGGGATGGCTGAGGCTGATGCGAGAGCTGGAAACTGTTCCATCGCAGTCGCCTTAGGTAGAGAGACCATCAAAGAAGCCAATCACTAAGTGGACATGTTTTGGGGAAGCACAGGATGTCCCTCATCAGAAAAGTAGTTAAGTAGAGTTCAAAAATGAGCCAAGAAAATCACAAAGCAAATGGAACTGATGACACAAATGTGCAAAATTGACATGAGAAATGATTTTTTTCCAAGTTGGATAGATTTGGAGTTATATCTGTTTCAGCATGAGATTTAAATAAGTGGTACAATTAATTTTGTTAATGTTTATTCCCAATTTTTCCGAGTCCAGAGCAGCTAAGACAGTACGAGAGAGAGAGAGAGAGAGAGAGAGAGAGAGAGAGAGAGAGAGAGAGAGAGAGAGAGAGAGAAAGAAGAGAGACACACACATATAGAGACAGACAGAGACAGGAGAGAGATGGAGGGAGGAGACAAGAGACAAAGAGGGAGAGACAGAATGGCAGAAAGATGGAGACAGAAAAAGGAAAGAGAGGCAGAGAAACACACAGAGACACAGAAAGAGAAGAGAGATGGAGAGAAGACAAGAGAGACAGAGAGTGAGAAGAAGAGAAGGAAGAGGTGGAGAAAAAGGAGGATGGGGAGGAGGAGGACAGAGAAAGGAACAGAGACAGAGAGAGAGGAGAGAGATATATGGACAAAGAGCAAAAGAAAGTGAGTGAGGCAGACAAAGACAGCTAGACAGGGAAAGGTCTCAAGCATCTTGGCCTATAGATCATTTTCCACTGCTTTCCAGGCCCCACTGCCTGAGATGCCATCAGGTGATGGCACACAGTGAGCTCCAAGACACATCACTGTCTCAAGAAAACCCCAGCAGCATCCACTGTGGTATTGATTCTACCAGTCAGGCCCTTCCACGGGCCATTTTTCTTGGGTGCTTCTGAAATGGTCTTTGAAAATCAGCTTCTTAAAGCAGAAACAACTTATGAAGCATACATCTTAAAACTCAGACATTTCTCATGGGATTAAAAAGAGTTTAAAATTCAAGGTAGAGACATTTAATGGGCTTCAAGGTCATGGGAGGAGCCCATGCACAGGGACTGACTGGGTCTCACTGTCTGTGATTCCTACCTATGATGCTTGGCCTGTAAGAAGACACAAATTTTTTAAATAAAATTAAGTTTGAAATAGAGGATAAACAGTCAGAGAAATGAATACATATTGACATGGATTCAAGTATCACATCTGTACAGAAGACCTAATTCCATTTGAATAATTCCTAACCACTTATACCTCTCAGAACAGCATCAGTAATTGAATATTCTATTCATATTTAAGAAATAAACAAAGCACAAACCAAATGAAATGGATGAAGCATCAGTCTATAAAAGTGTGCTGCTCACCTGTTTGGCCTGGTCAGAGAAGCTCCTACACCAGAATCCCTCCTTTCTCTGACCCCAGGGGCCTCAGATTCATTCAGAGATGTTCCATCTCTTTCTACATCGCTGGGTGTTGTCCGACCTTCAGAGACAGAGTTGCCTTCAAAGTCTAAGGACAGCTGATTAGGAGACGGAAAGGGGGACAGAGCAGGTTGCCCCACCAACGCATCATGAGTTTCAAGTTCAGGCAAGACATTTTTTGACCAGTCATCTACCACCTCTTGGAGCCCGTTGACATGCTGCAGAATGTCATCCAACTGAGGGAAGAGGTCATCTTTCTCCAAGTCCAGCAGATCTCCTGTGCTGGCATACAGATGTGAGCCAGGAACGTTGTCATAGATACTGACTCGGCTTGCTCTGTGGCAGGATGCCATGAGCCTGGGCTCCCTGGTGCAGGTGCCCTGCTGTCTTCCAAGGGAGATGCTCCCAGTCCTCCAATTTACTCCATTGCTGTTGTCTGTGGGTGAGAGGCTTTCAATAGAAAGTGCTTTGGGGAATGTTCCTGGTTTGTGATCCTTGGGAATATGCACCACTAAGTTCTCTTGCGAGTGAAACCCGAGTATGTGGTTTTGGTCTGCATTCTGCAACGCAGTGCCTGCCAGCACATCTAGGTCCTCCAGGTACATGCCCCCACGCTTGTTGGCCTCGTGGTGGCATTTTCGCTCCTTCAGGCATGGTGTGCTCACCCCGCTGCTGCTGTGCTCTGATGGGCTGCTCTCCCCGCTAGACTTGCCAGAACATGGGAGCCTTTCCTGCAGGCAGCTGGGGGTGAGTTCTGCAGATCACCATTTGGTATCTGGATACACTGCATGGCTTTAAAGGACTCTGGCTCCTGCTGTAGCACAGGCCCACTGATCACGAGGCCCCCTGTCCGCCCTGGCCCCTTATACCTTCCTTGTGCTCCCTTGGCTCGGAGAGTTTCCATGCGTTTCAGAAATGATTTAGCCCTGGCCCTGGTGGGCTTCTCGTTCTTGGGATGGAAAGGGTGGTTTAGAGTGTCTCGGGGGGGCTGTGGCAGGCTGCTGTTGACTAGAGTGGCCTCCAGCATGACTGGACTGTCAACACAGTACTGGCCTGACTGGCTGCGGCCATCGCTGCCTCCGCTGCTTTCGCTGTGAATGGAGCAGACTTCAGGCTCACTCAGGTCTGTGAGGACGCTCTCACTACTGGTTGTGTTTTTCATCCTAGGGCCTCCCGTGGACCCATTCCTGTCTCCTCCAGGGAATAGTGTGTGCAGGTCGTCCACACGTGACCACCTGCGGCTGGTTCTTTGGAAAGTCCATTTGTTGCTGATACAAAGATCTTCCTCATCTGAGTCGTCACCCTGCAAAACGTGATGGAAGATGCTTATGTTCTGGGACCTGGCTACAAGGCGACCCAGCAGGCCTGGCTCTCCCATATTCATGCCCCCCATCTACACTAGGTTTCCTGGGCATCCCTACTCTGTTCCTCCACTACCTCTCAGTGCCTGTATGTCCTCTTCCTCCCTGGCGGCCAGGGGGCCTCTACTCAACTTGCTAAGCTTTCTTACTTTAAATTTCCTTAGAATTTTTGAACCAACCTTCCTCTCTAAGACGTTTTCCCTAACCAATTAGATGAGCTGTAATTACCATCTTGACCAGACAGTTTAAATATAAAACACTTGAAGTCCTCTTTTGATGAAGAAACTCAACTCTGCCTTAAGGATACTTGCTTTTCAATCCCAAAACCTCTTCCTGAGCTCTAGGACCGTTATTTTCAGCTTCCCTCTTCTGAACCTCAATGTCAGTATCTCTGAAAACTAATACTCTTACCTTAGACTACCAAGCTCAATTCTTATCATGTATTCTCTGTATAAATTAATAGCACAGTTATCTGCTGAATTCCTCTAAGTAGGAATTTGGGAGCCAATCTAGAGATCACATTTAGAGAGAGTCTAATCCAGCTGCTGGGCTTCATTGGCCTGCTTGTGTTTAATCAATTCTGAGTGAGAATGCCTTTGGCTGCACACGCACCTCCTAGTTTTTGTGGTTAGTCCCCATGGTTTTTCAGTGTCCTGCATTCTGTATCTTACACAATGACCTTACCTGTCTGGTTTCTGCTGGATTTGTGGCCTCTGAGAAATGAGCTTCTGTATTTCTGAGGCAGAGGTGTCTTTGTTTATCTTTGCATATCCTTTGACTAGTACAAGACCTTGACCTACAGCATATAATTTACTTCCAAAGTGAAACATCTGCAGATGCCCCCTACTCGTGCATATCACTAAGACCCAAAGTGGAAATGATTTCAAATCCTTCATTTGTATCTTCACTCATGTTCCCTTAGTCTAGGTCCTCATCATCTCTTTCTGGATCTATTACAGTAAAAACCTGGCTAGAATCCTTGTCTCCAGCATGTTCCCCATCTAACCAGATTCCCACAGTGCAATCCAAACCCAATCATATAATTTCCCATCTTAGAAGCCTTCAGCTTGAGAGCCTCCATTCTCAGTTATTATAGAAAAGGCAAAAAAGAACAGGGCCTATGTTTTTCCATTTGTTCATATTTATATCCTCCCAAATGCCCAGCCCATAATAATTGCTTATTTTTTGTTGTTAGTTGAATTTATTTTATTTTACTTTAGCCTCCCATTCTAAAATCTGATTCTAAATGCTAATGTTACTAGCTAAGAGCTATGTAACTGTGTACAAGCTACTCACTACCTCTAAAGTAAGTTTCTAACATGTATAAAATGTGATTAGAAATAAGCTTTGCCTCGTAGGTTGCTTGGAGGGGATTAAGTAAGGTGAGGTATTTAGTAGTCCCTCATTGTGGGTAATTATTCTTTTCAAAGTTTGTTCAATTGTTTATCTATTTTTTCCATATTTAGCATTCATCTTAACTCCTTGCAATGTGTTCTGTTCTCAAGGAAAAGTAAACAGATGCACAGTCTGTAATTATTGGAATTTCCCATTTTTGTTTATTTCTCAAAAATCTAGGTTTCTGTCTGGTTTGAACTACACTTGAACATTCAAGTATTAAGGGGAAGAAAGTACAAAGTCAAGGCACTAACAAGAGTTCCCCAGATTTGACATCACAGTGGGGAATTTGACTTTGGTTTTCAAAATAAAGCCTCATAAAGTTTGGTGAAAGAATTTTTTTAAATAATTGTACCTATGTAAAAAAAGTCATCATGGGATGATGGCTCAAAACACCTTCTTTTGATACTTTGCGATACTACTTCCCTTTTTTTTGTGGTTGCTATCATAAACACCAGCATTTGAGGTCCATTTACAAAAAAGGCACCATAATAGCTTAAAGGCTGAGCTTGCTGGATTTCCATATTACATTTCAGGAAGTATGTGAAAAGTTGATATTAAGTAAGCATTCTGAAAAAGCTCTTTCAGCAAATAGTTTTAGAACAGGCAAAAGAAGGATCCACTACTTTTAAAGAAAACATAGATGTTTAAAAATAGAAACTATAATATTTAGTGTTGGTTCCAACTACTCTCCAAACCTGGTTACTGATGCTAGCAAATCACATATTAGTTGGACAAGGACTCCTTTATTTAGGTTAAGGAACGATGCCAAGCTGGGCTCTGTGGACTGGAGATAGAATGCAGCCTCTGTCTGCTAAATTCTAAGAGCTTATTACACTAGCTTTGGCCAACAAGATGTTTACAATCCATGAGTGGCATGTGAAAAAAATGGTAAACTCCTGGAAAAAGAGGAAAACAGTTCAGGGAAATTCTGTAGTATTTAGGTTGTTTAAACCAAAGCAAATAAACAAAACCCAAAGCAATAAAAATTAAAAACAAAACAAACAAAAGAAAAATGCCCATTCTTTTTTAGTACTCTGTACATACAGTTATCATTGTATATCCTCAAGAGTATCAAAATGGCTTTACATCTGTTTTTCCCACTGTGTAGTGTCTTTCAAAGTATTGATAGTGACCCACAATAAAGGAAATAGTTTCCATCACAAGTTGGGGTATGCATACACAGTACACTAAAGCAAAAAAAAAAAATCATGCTATAATTATCCTTATTTGCTTTTATTCTGGTATTTTATTCAGGGGATCATTCCTAATCCAAAAATCGGAAATGCTCCAAAATTTGAAACTTTTTGAGGGTCAACATAGGGTAACAAGTTAAAAAATTTCACACCTGACCTCACGTGATGGGTTGCAGTCAAACTGTAGGCACGCTAAAAATATTGTATAAAATTGCTTTCAGGCTATGCATATAAAGTATATATGAATTTCATGTTTAGACTTCAGTCCCATCCCAAAGATATCTCATTATGTATATGTAAATATTGCAACTACATAAAAAAGTCTGAAATCTGAATCACTTCTGAGCCCAAGAATTTTGGATAAGGAATACTCAACTAATCTAGTTTAGTCTGTTTGATTTTTTAAAAAAATGTTGTTTGTGACCCATCAAATTCATTTGACAATGTAACAAGGGGCCATTTATAGTATGTGAACACCTTGCACTAGAATCTAAGTTCCTTTTACATACTCAGGACTGAGCAGAGAGTATCAGGCACATGGCAGATTTTCCAACAGTATTTGTGGAAGTATACTGATTATTTATGAGATTGTCAGATTTCATCCATTTGATCACTTTTGATGTTAGAGACAGTTTGTGATTATTCAAACACAAAATGGAGCTCTCTAAGAGTCAGATGTATTTCTGAAGAAAAAGACACACTATGTTAATTTTTGTTCTAATCTCGATGGTTTAGTACACCACAGACATACTGTAGACATAGAACTTCAGAATTTCAGCAAGACAACAAATAAAAAATTGTCATGATATTGTTCAAGGTGGATAACTGTGCTGAATACTACTAGAATTTTGTTAGTAGATGGCTGAGTAACTCCACCAAAGAATGTGAGAAAAACACTGAAAGAAACTGGAGGAAGGATCTGCAGAGAGAAGCTTCAAGGTGACGGCCATTTTAAGCATAATTCCAGTGAGCCAGAAGAACACTTACTTTTAAAATGTAAAAGTTGCTCAAGGTTATTTGCTAAGGGATCTTGAGCTAGGCACCCTCTTTGAGACTCAGCTATTAAATAAAAATCATAACAATACACATCTAATGTGGTTTACCAACAGAACCAAATGAGATTATATGTTAAAATGCCATCTAAACCTTAAAGTGATAGATAAAACTAATTCTCATTAGAGAACAGGGTGAGAATCCCTAACCCAAAAATCCAAACTCTGAAATGCTTCATATTCTGAAACTTTTTGAAGGCCAATATGATACCACAATGGTAAATTCCATAGCACAAAACTTTGATTTATGTATAAATTACTAAAATTATTGTATGAAATTACCTGTAAGCTATGTGTACAAGGTCTATATGAAAAATAAATGAATTGCATGTTTAGATTTGGGCTCCCTCCCCAAAATAGCTCATTCTGTATGTGAAAGTATTCCAAAATCTGAAAAAACCCAAATCCAAACACTTCTTTTTCCTAGCATTTTGTATAAGGGATACTCTACCATATTAGGATGTATTAAGATCTCAGCAGAATGGAAGAATGGCTTGTTAATAAGCTGAAATTGCATGAAGTAAAATATAATGAACCTAACTTCAAAAATCAACTATGGGTCATGCAGAATGGAACGGACTTAGTTCAACAGCTGTTCCTATTAATAGACTTGAGAGTTCTGGCAGATTTAATCTTAATGTCAGTTAACCACATAATATGGCTACCAAAGATGCCAACTTTTGGATGTGTGACCAGAGCACAGATGCTAGAATCTAAAGATTAGAATCCATTGTATTCATTGGCTGCATATATCAGGAATAAGAGGCTTTCTAAGTGCTACACTTTAAGGGGTGCATTTCTAGAGAAGAGTAACTTGAATGGCCAAGGATTTAGGAGCTAACTCCTGTGGAAGATGACTGATAGAACTAATAACTTGGTTTAGAAATGAGGAACTCTAGATAGTGCAACTCAAAGTGTGGTAAGGGGGCTGCCAGTGTACAAATGTCTCACTCTTTAGTGAGATAGGCACAGGAGTTGAGAGTAGCATTAAAATCAGGTGTCACCATGCGACAAGGCTATGCTATACAAGGCAGAGTGGTCTACTCATCTAATTGAACAAGGCAGATTAGTTTATCTACCATAATTCATAGTTTATCATTTTTAGGTACCATTGTTTCACATAAAGATAAATCTAAATTTATAACTTTACAATTGTGGGACATGGCTAATGAAATAAAAAGGAAGATGAATTTGGAAAATGTAGCATAACTTATTTCATTTCAAATAAAAGCTATTTGCAGGAAAACCTTAAGCTTTGAAACTGTTCTAAAACTTCATTTCATTCTATTCAACATACTAAGTCTAATTTCTTCATGATGGCTGGATTAAAACAAATAAACAAACTAAAAATTTTAGATATACATTATTCCCTGTGAGTACTGTTGTTGTCAAGCAGCCTATAATAAGAAACTCACTGTTACATTAAAAATTTTATGTATTCATAATTATAGTGTTTGTTCACA